AAAAAAAAAGTTTTGGTATTTTTAACGGAGCCTAGTTGTCACAAAAACCTTGGGAAGCAGGTATTGTCCCTGTTCACACACGAGGACACATATTTAGATCATTCTTGTGACCAGTCCAAGGCTGTAGAACTAGCAAACGGTAGAGCTGGGGCTCCAACTCCGACATCCCACTGAATTTTTTCCTTGGCTGCTTTGGTTTGTTGAGTTTGTTACTGTTGCTGTCATCCCTGCGTTGTGCTACAATCTCTAAATTCAACTCATGGGAAAATGAGAGCTGCTAAAATGATGACGGGACTTTCTGCTACTTTGGATGTCAAGACAGGACCCATTCAGAGAAGAAAAACCACAGCCTCACCTGGCGTTCCTAGGCGGGCCTGAGCAATGGTCAGCTTTTCATGGGGTGCTTGGCATTGGCAGCTGATTTCATCTGCAAATGGGGCAGGAGCAGTCAGAGTCTAGAAGTGAGAAAAAGAAAGGGAATATAGTCTGACAAACTTTCCTTGGGCACTAACTTCCCCTGAAGTTTTATGTCTGTTGGCTACACAGGCATGATCAAAAAGTAGAATATATCCACTGAGTCTTTCAGAGAAATATTGTACTGTTAGAAATAAAAACAGGGACATTGTCATTGAAACCCTTTTTTGACTGCAGCCTCAGAAATAATACGAGCTCTTTAGTGTCTACTATAGGCCAGGTACCAGGTGACGTACTCTGGATATGCTAATTCTTTTAGGCCTCACAACAGCCTGTGATGGCTAGATCCTTCTATCTTTCTATAGTATAGGATAATGCCATCTCCAATTCACAGGAAAGGAAACTGAGGCTCAGCAGGATTAAGAAATATGCTAAGTCATGCCCTTGGAAAGTCACAATGCTCAGTTTTGAACATTTCACAACCAGCAAGGGCAGACTTCAAGCATTAAGACTTACCCACACCCTGGGGTACTCAGTTGGAAGGAATGCCATACTCAGCAGTGTGGCAGACATCTGTGTTTCACACACACCAGCCTGGCCAATCACGAGCTCTGACGTCTCTTCGCTGCAAAGGCCAAAGACGTTATCTGTTCCCTGGGAGGGCCTAAAAGCATAGCATTTCTGGCAGGCTGCCGATAAACTGTTCCTGTGGTAGCTCCAACAGCCACGGCTGCAGGCCCCGCCCCAGGCAGCTGGGGCTGAGGCTCTGGGGAGTGCTGTGAGAGAGATGTAGTCGCTTGGAAGCCTGCCCAGGAAGTGGCTCTGAATATTTTAGTCAGCCTCTTAAAATGAAAACGTCACTCTCTCCAGACAGAGGGAGACAAGTGTTTTTGTAACCGGGCAAATGCGATCCGGAGTTGTCCATTTGTAGTCTTTGAACTATGTCATTACCATGGTCATCACTACATCTACTTTGATATTTTTAAAGCTGAAGTCATTGCAAACATTACTCGTGTTGTTGCATAGATTGTTTCTTAGAGATAGACACAGGTGTTCCTCAAACTGGGAAGACTCAACTGAAGAATGATTCATACATTTGAAGAGGGGCTGTGACCCACTTCTGCTCTTCATTTATTCATTCACTCATTCATTCACTTATTCACACACTCATTCAAATATGTCAGGCATTTTCTTAAATCTGGGGATACAAGTAGGGATAAGACCAGTCCCCGTTCTCCTCCAGGACTCCGGAGGAGTCCCCGTTCTCTGTGCTGCCAAGAACCCATCTTGTCCCATTCCCACCCCTCCTCCCCATTGTAGCACCTTCCGCCCTGGAAACTGGAGTCCTGCCCCAGAGTTGCTTGGAGACCTCCCAATTGCCTGAGACTCTTAACCCCCACCATCCCATTCAGGATTCTGAAAGCAGACCAAGACTTGGGACATGGATTCAGAAAACTTGAGTCTGTTATTGGTTCCTTTTCAGGTGACCTTCTGGGCCATGGTGGGCCAGGGCAACATTTGAAATATGCCAAAGGGGTATAGTGACAAGAGCAGAGGCTCCATAGCCACAAAACTGGCATTGAAATCCCCTTTCCAGCACTTACAGGCTGTGTATTCTAATTTGGCTCTTTTGGTTGAAATAAACTGACACCCACTAGAGTTAGCTCAAGAGATGAAGGATTTTTTTAGGGATACTCTGGCACAGAATTGGGGGGGCAGCCCCTGGCCCCAGAAAGCTCTGCGCCAACCTGGCTGCTCTCTGCATGTGACTCTTTCTGTCCCACACCCATTTACCCTCTGTCTTTCCACTATGTTAAAGTCTCTGCTTGCCTTCTACTCCCCCATAAACTTTGGTGTGAATGGGGGCCATGAAAGGCCTCCTCTGCCTCCCTTCCCAACACTCATTCAGCAGCTTCTGATTGAGCCTTTCAGCCCCAGCCCCTGTTCCTACCAACTTACTGCTTCTTTCCATGTTTCCCAATTCAAAGTCCCAAGGGAGAATCAGATTGGCCAAGTTCATGCATTCAAACCAGGCCACGACCAAAACTGGCCTGCGTTGAATCAGGTGCCCACCAGCTGTGGCTGGTGAGGGGCGGAGGAGTGGCAAGGGAGGTCATGGGTTGCCTGCCACTACCCCTTTAGCAGGCGCTGTTGTTGGGGCAAGAAATGTATTTGACCTTGTGTGCTCTTAAAAGGAAGTTCCTTAACTTAGTTGAATCTCAGTTTCACCTATGAAATGGACACCAATCTTGCAGGGCTGATGCAGAAAATAGAGAGAATTATGTCAAGTGCCTGGTACTCAATAAATTGTGGCCATTATTACTTTTCGTATTCATTATTATACATCATAATACATAGTACTTTATATTATGACGTAATAGATAATGTAATTCCCCATAAAAACAAGCAAATAGACTCTGAATGAACTTCTAGGACACAGCCCAAACAGGTAAATGGATTAGCAAGTGGGGTTCTTAATGATTCACTAGCCTTTAATATATGTGGACATGCATCTTTTTCATATGATCTAAAATAAAGTATTATTTGGGGATATTTTATGTGCTAGTCCCAAAGCTTATTAAAGAGATAAGGTGTTGTCATTTTCTGAGATAGATGTACTCCAGAGGGTGTGAAACCTGGTAGTTAAAGCAGAGATAGAGACAGTTGTAAAGCAACAATAGTTACTCAAAGGTGAAGAAAAGGTTTATATGCACTGTGCATTTTGTTCGTAATTATTGTGGCCTGGAAGTAGGAAAAATGGAGAAGCAAAGAGACGGAAGGCACAGAGAGTGCCTAAGTGTGCTTGTGTGTATGTGCATGTGTATGTGTTTTATTATTATTAATCCTCACATGAGCATATTTTTTCCATTGCTTTTCAGGGGGGAGATGGAGAGAGAGAGAAATATCGATGTGAGAGAGACACATCCACTGGTCGCCTCCCACAAGCAACCGGGGAGCCAGGAAGTGAACTTGCAACCCAGGTATGTGCCTTTGACCAGGAATCCACCCTGTGACCCTGCGGTGTGTGGGCCAATACTCTAACCACTGAGAACACCAGCCAGGGCCTGAGCATCTTTAACAGCAGTTGACATGGAGAAGGTGAATTCCTTGTTATGTACAAGGCACCGTACTTGGAATGGGGAGAAGGCAAAAATAAATGAGCCACAGCCTTGCTCTCCATAACACCGGTGGCCTTCCAAAATGAGGCAGAATGCTCCCTGGGTTGAAGGTCAAGCTCTGCATTCAGGAAGACCTTGGTTAAGGCCCAGCTACCACCAACTAGCCCTGTGATCTGAGGCAGTATTTTTAAAAAATATATTTTTATTGATTTCAGAGAGGGAGGGAGAGGGAGAGAGAGATGGAAACATCAATGATGAGAGTCATTGATCAGCTGCC